CTTCTCTGCTGTGCAATTTCTAGATGCTTCTATAGACTGACTTTCCTACAGTGACCTTGAATCTAGAATCTCTGTCAAGATTCACAAAGAGAGTTAGGGAAACACCCAAAGGAAAAAAAGGTAATCTACTTTGTTCACCTCTGAGGGAAAGAAGTATGCTTCTGGAAGGGTAGTGTTTGAACCTTAACACCTTTCAACTAGCCATATTGAGGAATTAAACAGTCTATGTGCACAGGTGCTAGCATATTTGATGCTGAAAGGAATATTGGTTGTCATTTCTGGTGTGAAAGGTTCACTGGTGACCACAGGAAACCTAACGCTACTATGTACCATGATACCATGAATTGACACTGGGATATAAGCAGCAAAGCACAGAATTGGGGAGGGGGGGGCCAGAGGGGCAGGTGATACTGGCTTACTCAGAAAAAGAAGTTCCCTCAATCCTGTAAGTCTCTCTGGAGGAGATAAAAAGACAAGTAGGAAGTAGACATTTCACTATGTGAAAACCAAACAGCCTACTGATAGTAGATGCTAATCAGGTGTTAAGAGAAGCTGCTGAGAAAAGGCAAGAGGATATGTGCTGCTGCGCAGTATATTCCTCATCCTTCTGTTTACTGTGGAGTTAGGCTACATTGCATCCCACTTGGCTGAGAGAGGTGACACAGGAAAGGGAGCACCACAGGAGAGTCTGCTGAAAGTTGGGCTTGTAACACACCTATCAGTGCACAGGTAGGACATCCAAATTCAGACAATTCTTATCAACCACATGTAGGCAAAGAAAAAACTCTCTTGCTTTTTAGTTTTCTGTTTCTTAGAAACACATGAAGCAGTAGAGAATGTGTCAGCAATGTGTGTTTCCCCATATCATTCACTTTCTCACAGAATCATAAGGTTGGAAAAGACTTTTAAGAACATCGAGTCCAACCATACACTGCACACGAGACAATATTTTAAACCTTACTGGTTTTGCTAAGCCATAGGGATAACAACATGTTAACACAGATAGTTGCAGACAAACCTAATCTTATCCTCTCTGTGATTTTAAGTATCTGAGCTAAAAAAGAAGCCACATTTTAGCATGTTTGTGCGACAGAACAAATCAGCTCAGATGGACTAACATGACTTCTGGACCAGAGATGGCTTCTACTCATCCAAACTAGATTAGAAAGGAAAAAAATATGGTCTTTCTGTACCAGCACAGAGCATATATATCCAAAGATAGGAAACTACCTCTATGTAAAGAAAATGCAGACCTTTCCAAGTTTCCAAGTTCTACCCAAACCAACAAATTACTCTATTTCCTCTCAAGACTGACTTTACAGCTAAATATGTTTATTGACAACATATTACTTCTGTTATCATACATTATATTATCAGTTGCTCTTTGCTTTGCATCACAGTAAGAGAAACTAAGGATCCAATACAGAGCCTTGATGGCCTATTGAGTTGAAAGACATGCAGGGACCAGTGGGTCCTACTAGCCAAAAGATTTTGAGTTCATGGGACATTCATGCATCAGACATGAAATTTACATCTGAATAATCATTTGAAAGTGTATAACAAGTGCTGGAAACAGAAATTAGTGGAAGGAAAAAGAGAGGAATAGCAGGGTCTCAAACAGATTGCAATACTGGTCGATCATATTCACAAGCAAAAGAGAAACACTTCTGCACGAGGTGTTATACTTCAAAATATAACCAACGCATGATAAAGGAAGAGGTACAAAGTTTATCCTTTTCAAAGACTTTGATTTATGCAGTGCCTTGATGTTTACAAAGTTGCTTGCACACATTTACATAATGCGTCTGCATAGCTACCGCTTAACAGATATCCTGGACACACAAATGCAAAGTGTATCATTCATTTTGCCAGTCTCTTCAAGTTTCTGGTAGATGAATTTCCTCTAAGGCTGGTGCTGCTACTTTACTGCTCTGATCCTTTGCATCAGTTCTGATTGCCCTCCTCTCCTCCCCTCCCAGCTGAGTAACAAAACTAAAGCTTTGGAGGGAAGCTGCCCAGCAGCAAAAGTTTCAAGCAAGGAAGCTGGGGGAAAGATATTGATCAGTGTCAAACCACTTTTAAAGCAATGGAAGGAGAGGGAAAGGAGAGTTTAATTCTCTTCTAGTAAAAGTGGTATTGATTCAATTCTGTCTTTATAACTGAAATAGCTCACTGGCTCCAGTGAAGCCAGCTTTCTCCTCATCCTGGTCTCTCCTGCTTACTGGAAAGTGGAACATAGTCCCTACTGTGGGACACGGGATCAAATCGGGTTCCCCATCCTGCCAAATGTTGACACTGTTACAAAACAGATTGTCTGGATTCTCCTATTTTTCCCATGGAGGAGTGAAGGCAAGACAAGCTGCTCTTGACCATAACAGCTTTGCTATGTAAAATAAAGGAGGGTAGTTTTCCATAACAGCACAGTGAGAAACCTGTCTTTTTGCTTTTTCAATTGAAAGTTCCTTTCTGCAAAAGAGATGACTGTACATGGCAAAGAAGCCGTACTGTGTAGAACACTTCAAGTTGCTGTGTTAAATGAGAAATTTTTCTGCAAGTGTACTGCCTTTTTATCTTTGTTATTTTTAAAAGTAATGCTGAAAGTGCCCAGAATACAAGATGTAGGATATTTTACAGCTCATTACAAGAGACTATAAAAATGAACAATAAACAAGCTGTTGCCTTTTCACAGTAGAAACAGATAAAGAAGCAGTGAAGCTGAAGCCACTTCTACACTTCTGTAAAGAAAGAGGAAAAGTGAACTGGAAGGATGAAATCACTTCAGTTACTCAGTCCATGATGCTTTGGTGGATCACTTTCATTCTGCTTCCATTTCTACTGCTGACTCTTTGTCATTTAGCTGCCTTCTCTGTCCTGTATTGGCAAACATCAGGATGAGCATGTTGCCCCATTTTTCAGTGATATGTTCAAAGTAAGTCAATATATCAGGGATATTCAAACAAGCATGTTAAGGCACCAGAAATCCTAACTATGGGAACAGATTTGTTTCAGCATATGGCTCATGTCCTGCCTCCACAGGGTAAATGAGGAGGGCTCATCACTCGTTTTGGTTTCAGGATCAACATTGGCCATACAAATACAGTCCTGCTTGTATAGCAATGGAAAACCTGTTGCTGCATTCAGGAGGAGAACAATAAACCAATAGTTCTGAATACCCTATAAAATATTCCTTAATCATTTGAGGAAGAATTCTTTGCAGTACCCAAACATTGTAGGCATTAAATACCATAGATCAGCCTTAAGGGAATTGGAACTGCCCCCCCCCAATCACTGAAAATATTCACACTGCAGATGTTAATAAATATGTCCACTATATTCAATAATATTTAGCCTTTTTACATTTAGAGATCAGTTTTATGTTGCTAGGTACTTTTGAGTGAAATTATCATGTGAGGAAATGCAATAGCACTAAGAGATGCATTAAAATAAAAAGTTATGCTTTGATTGATATATGATCTTGAACTTATTATTTATATTAAAATCAATATAATTTCTACCAGTCTTTTTTTTTTTTTAAAAAAAGAGGTGATTTAATGTAGTTGAAATTACATGAAACATTTTCTCACCGAGTTAAGGGCAATATCATACTGTGAGAAACCAAGAAAGGGATGTAACTGTACACCTGTTAAAAAAACCAATATTGTATTTTAATCTTTTTTCCCACCTGCTACTGTGTGTTATAAAGTTGAAGCTAAGTTGAAGCTATTATATATCTAGTTAGAGGATTTTTCAGATGTTAAAAATGCCATGCATTTAGAGCATAAAAATCCCCAAAAGTGGGAGAAAAATTACTCATTTTTTAGAATTCAAAAAGTAATTTTACAATCCCATAAGCAATGCATAATATAGTAACACAGCAAATATTATACATTCACACTAGATGCAGTTTTAAGGATGATTTATTTCAGTAGTTCAGTTACTATAAAAGTGCTGTGTTAAAGATTTCCCATTTTATCAGCTGAACAATTTTATGAGGTGATGGTGTGAATCTACATCCATCAAAGATCCTATTCCATGTTGAAAAGTTAATCTTTCAGAAAACTGGAGTGCTCTCTTTGGTTGTGTGATTCTGACTGAAAGCAGTTACACAGAAAAAAAGGATTGGTTTGGGTTCACATGCACAAACAGACTGACAAAAGCAGTATTTTTGAAGTAAGGGCTTCAGTAAGTGAATGGCTTTTGTGTACTACAGCAGTCTACAAAAGACATTTTGTTAAGAAGTTTAAAAGTTGACAGCAAAAGACCTCATTAATAACCGAACTGAAATAGTCTATTTCTATAAAATGTGAAAAACCCCTCACTTTATATAGAAATAAAAATCTTATTCAAATTAATGTGAAGTCCTCTTTGAGAGTAGATGAAATTATATGATCCATATAGTAGAGAGAAGACAAAAATCTGAGCAAGCAAACAGGAATTTTAAAACATATATTTGTTATATATATTTAAAATACCCACATTTAATGTTGATATCTATGCTTTTTTTTGAAAAGTGTCCAGTAGACTTGATCCTAAGGCTCATTCTGTAGTAACAGAACTTTGCATTTATCCATAAAACAGATTTTTAACACACATATACTAACACAGATTAAAACTCTAACTGCATCATGTAAGAAGCATGTTATAAACATGAACTGAACTAAGAGGCACTTATACTATCAAGTTCTGGAACAGTGAACAGCTTTCAAAGGTAACTGGCAGGCAAGCATTATGTGCACTCTTTTAAGCCTTTCTAATAAACATCCACTCACAGACCTGGCAATTCACTGTAAAATAGAAACCTTATGCTAACATCTACTTCTGTTTTAAAATAACAAAGTATAACCAGCAGAAGCAAACTAGGATTTTTAGTATGAATGTTATTTTCACTTTTCAAGCCTTTTCATTTCACGGCTTTTATACCTGATGCTCTTTATGTCTATTTTAGCAGAACAGACACCACCACACCTAGAAACAGAACAAACTGCTAGTGACCACTTTACCTTCTGAAAAATCAATCAGTCCCAGCAAATGAAGCAGCTTCAGAGATGCAAATATAATCACAACAATACCCACTGTTTGCAGTCCCTCCGACTCCCACTCGAGAGTCAACATCCTTCCAACAGGCAAATCATTCCAGTCTTCACACCAGTTCGCAATCAGAGGGAAATGAGGGGATTTTACCAAGAGTTTGCTTTGAAGAAAGTTGCAGCGGCGTAAAGCAGCGCTGCACTGAGCTGTGGCAAGTCACCAGCCACTCTAGCTGAGAGAAAACATTAAATAAAGCCCCGCATCTCATGCTTCTCTAAGCATTTGATTTCATCAGTAGCGAGTCCTCTTAGAAGGCTGAGGTGGACCAGGAACCCCTGGGTATGACATTGTATCCGGCGAGCAGCGTTACCTCAGAGCTGCTGGAGGAACATCTGTGTCGGAGCTGGAGACTTGGCTGTGTCAGTGCCAAGAAGAAAGGCTTCCTGGAAACTTGCACTAGGGAGCACGCTGCTGTCAGCACTCTGCACCTCAGCCCTTCCAGACCCGGGCTCTGCGATTCTTACCCACCTTCTCTGAACGCTGTTTCTGTCAAGTTTGACAAAGGGCAGTTTGCTGAAGACAGACATCTGTTTTCACCTGTGCTAAATGCTGCACAGCAGAAAACTGCTGCTCTCTGCATTAGAAAGAATAATGTTCAGAGAAACACTGTCCCTTCCTCCTCTTAAGCATCCCCAGAATCTAATTAGAATCTTCAGTGGAAATAAGAATAGAAATTAAAGAAATAGACACCAGCACGATCGGATTGGTGTCTCCAGCTAGCAAAACACAGTGCTGTCAAGGAGACATGCACTGCCCAAACTCCCATTCCGTAGCCAGGAAGAATGTATTATTTATTGATTGAGAAACAAAACAGGACTTTTCTGTGTCAGGATGTGAAGGTGGATGGGCTGAACCCCAAACTCTGATATATATGAATGGGAATGAAGCATTTTCCACAGCTCCTGCGAACATCTAGCCCAGGCTACACATCAGAGGAAAAAGAAAAAGGCTTACAATCCCAGTTGATTTATTGGATAGCCTGTATAAACCTAATCGTCCTGTGTTTATTAATGTGGTTACCACGAGGATACTCGGCATGAAGACTAGGCTCTGAAGAATATTTATACAGCACATACACAAATATTATAAAGTTAGATCTCAATGCTTATTCTTGTGCCCATACCTAATAACTGAACTAAATCCTGCCTGCTGGAATACAAGACACTAGTGAAGGGATAGCTCAGAAAAAAATAATTTTAGACACTCTTATTACTAAAGTAACATGTATGATCTAATATGAAAAACAACCTCATAAATTGTGCCCAATATCGACTACTCTTCTGAGGTTGCTTAATACCTTCCTTTAGCAACAACTTTTACTAACTTTTGAGAAGCTCGGAAACTTTATTTTTGTTCAAAAAGCATTGTAGCTTTAATAATCTATTGTTTATGGACCAGGTAGAGAAAGAAAAATGTAACATTCCCACTTACTATCAGCTTACTATCAGCTTTTTTTCTTTTTCTTGGAAGGCTATCTGCACTGAATTACAATAACTAATCGGAGTCACATATATTTCCATTAAGGCAGGACTCCAGAATCTGCATATTTTTGTTACTTCAAAAAAATCACATATTGTAGTCAATTTTAGGTTATATCTAGGCAACATATGAGCAACAATATTCTTTGATTTTGCTCTTCTGGGTATTTAATACTGGACTGTTAAGAGTTCTGTATTATTCATATATGCTCTCAATATGAATACCAGTTCCTTTCCTTATTAACCTGTAAAGCTAAAATAGTGTCTAAGAGGAAAGCACAATAAAAATAGAACAAATACACTTTCCTACATTTGCACCTTGCAAGTATGTCACTGGCTTTGCATTACACTGTAAAATAATTATTCAATGTATTTTCAAGTTAATTTCTACTCCTTTTAAATGAAAGGTAAAATTTTGATTCCTCTTTATTATTTCTAGTTATTCCATATCATCTTCTCCTTGTAAGGCTCCAACATGTTCATCTTAACTCATTCTCATCTCTGACTTCTATTTTCTCCTTGAGTTTATTCCGTTTTTTATCTTTTTCTCAAATTTTTCTTCATTTTTCTCAAATAATGAAGCATGGCCAAATGTTCATGATATTTCAAGGCTTAATGTGATCCCAGGATAGGAACTTCAGCCCACATGGTTTTATAGGCATTACAGAAACAATAATCCTAGTATAATGCAACCAATCATACAGTAGCAGTGGAAGAGGTCTTATTTACTGTAAACAAACAGTAAACAAACGATTATAAAGAATGGAGAAATCTATCACTTTGCATTCTCCTTTCATGTAGTAGTTCAGGCTGCCTTGTGTTCTTGAGTTGTCCACTCTTGGGATCAGAGGCCTCACTCCACCATTGAATATGCCAACCCACATGCAAAAAGCCACCCAGCAAGAACTGGTGTCAGCCATAAACAGGGTTTTGTTTTCTTCTTTCACACAAGAAGAGGGATGTGGATGCCTTCTAAAAAGTGAAAGGGACAAAGATTATGAATTTGATGAGTCTTGGGGGCCAATTCCACCCGCACAGCAGATGAGTTACAGAAGAATTTCCAAAGGAAACAAAATCAACCTGAAAACATCCAGTCGAATTAGTGTTACTGATTATTCACTTCAAGGATTACCTCCTTAAAAAAACCAGACTTTTCCTGTTGTTTCTCATGGTAGCTCTCTAAGTTAGGGGAAACACATACAGACTTTGTGAATCTCCAAGTCTTCGCTCTGAAAGTAAAGAAGTAAGGATAAGATACTATATGGAAAGGAAAAAAATGACATATGAGATGTTTCCTTTAATAACCTATTCAGCAGCTTCAAACAATGGTGTCACAAAGGTGAATTCTTCTGAAAGTGGTTCAATCAAAAAAATTCCATGCCTCAAAGTATTTTTAAAATGGCATCACTCTTGAACAAAGAAATTATAAAACTGAGTTATATATAGGGCACCTCTTTGTATTCTAATCCGTTCCTGAATTCATAGTCAAATGTAATTTCTCTCACCTCATATTTTGTTTGATTATTTCAAAATAAATATTTCTGAGATATATCCTTATGGAGTGCCTGTAGTGATACTACGAGCAAATGTGAAAGCCATTCACAGAAAATGAATTTTTCATGGATGCCACCCCAGGATACAAAAGAAAACACCATCATTTATGTGAAGCACTGAAAACAGGGGCTGACAGCTGGTAGTAATCAAACATTGCTGTAGCTTCCTCTCTTTCCTTAGCTCCTGTTTTTATTTTCAACGTTGCAATGCATTCTGGTGGTGATTTAGTAATATTTTTGAAGTTTGCATAAACTTTCTTGTGAACCTTCAATAGATTGTGTGGAGTAAAAAAAAAAAGATTAAAAAAAAAGAGCTAGGGTTGTTAAGAAGCTCTCCCATCTAAACAGTGCATTTTTCACTGACCGTAAATTCCTATCCACAAAGATTTGAACAAAAAATAGAGCATGGGGCTGATTTGTCCCTGCACAAAGCACAGGGAGTACATGCTGCAGCGTAAGGTGCGGATGCATGGCAAGGCACAGCATTCCCCAAAGGATGGAGTGACCTGGAGAGTTCATGGCCATGGACTTGTTCCTGCCAATTCCTTTCCCCCAGACTAGCTGTGCAACTATAAAATTTAGTACAAGCTTTTCACTCCAAAGTAAATAGACAAGAAAAACTTGTGTACGTGTTACGTGTTACTTGTGTACGTGTTATATCCTATCTCTGGAAGCACAGATCCCAAGTGAGTTCTGAACTGGACAGAGCAGATCTACCAAAATTAGTAGGGTGTACAAGAAAAAAAAAAAAGCCATTCTGGAGTCGTTACATTTTTCAACAAACGATCCCAAGTAATTACTGGCTATTCTGACCATTGTAAATAGAACTATTTACGTATGGAATGCAAAAAAAAAAAAGATACCTTAAACATAACAATGTTTAAAACATGATTTTTTTTATGCTTGTATACAATTTTCCCCTACTTCTTGGAAGAAAAAAAAATACTCAGAAACATCATTTATAAAGCTCAGATATGGGAAACTGAATTTCAGTAATTTCAAATTTGACTAAAAGCAGACAAGATCTGCCATTTCAAACCAAACAATATTCCACGTAATTTACCACAAGTAACAAATGCTTGAGAGTAACATGCAGGGTGTTATGAATTGAACAATTAAGGAATAAACTGGTTTGAAATCCTAAAAGTAGCTAAATAATAATTCTGTGATTAGTGTATAAAGTTTCCCTATGATTTTATATGATTACAAAATTATCTGGTATTACCATACTTTTATATACAGTGGTAAACTAGTTTGATTCCAGTAAACACTTTTTTTTTTAAGTATAAACTGCCACTGTAACTTACTGTTGTATGAGAGTAGAGATATATGAATGCGTACCTCATCCCAAATACACTGAAGTGTTTTATGCCTTTGCACTACATTTAGTTCTTAAAATCTGCTTGTAAAAAGCATCAGTCTTAGGCTTTTCTCAAAGAGAAATGTCTTCATACTTAGAATGATTTTAATTTCTCTTCTGTGCAGGCATTCTGCTGTATAGGCTGTTGTCTAATGTAGAATTGATTTGATCAAAATTGAACAGTTTTCAGGGCAAGGATGTATTACTATTACTATTCATTAATTGACTTGAATTGTACTGCTTTCCTAAGCGATGAAATCTGCCCAGTGTTGTAACTGTTTTAGGTGATGGAGGAGGGGGAAATCTTAATTGGCCAGCAGTAATAGTTCATTAGGCTCTATTTGATATTTTCCCCCAATGTAGCTGAAAAGGGAAACTGTTGATGAGTTAGAATTAGAAACAAAATTTGAAACTATTAATTAGTTGCCCTTCTTTCTATACTCTCTTTTCCCAGAGGGAAATGTCTGTCAGCCAGAAGAAAAAGAAATTGTCAAACGAACACAGAAAGAGCACCTACGTACAGGTCAGATGAACTGCTAATCTTCACTTTCTTGTTCCTGCCAGATCTGAGCTTGTTAGGAAAGTTATCTGGTGGATAATGAACTTAATCCTCCTTTCAGATAGCCACTGAGAAATCTGTTCAGAGGCAATATTCTACAGTTCTCTACACAAAAAAGTTTCTTAGATCTGTGGAAGAAAATTATGTCCAACTAGAAAGCATTCTGAGAACCAATTAATTTACACATATTCTTTCAAGAAATACTCCCATGGTAAAAGAACTCATATTTTTTGAATGCAACACCTCCTGCATCAGCTGCTACAATTAATCAGAGTACATCATGTAATTTCCATCCAATTCTCAGAAAAATGAGACTAATGTATTGAATCATTTTGTTCAT